TCCTCAGCCACTTAAAAAAGTGTGTGTGTGTGTGTGTGAGAGAGAGAGAGAGAGAGAGAGAGAGAGAGAGAGAGAAACAGGTACACAAATCAGTGGGACAGACCACAGAGCCCAGAAATAGATCCACTCACATATAGGTCAACTGAGTTTTGACAAAGTAAGATAAACTGGGGGAAAAGAACAATCAATCCAACAAAGGGGGTTGAGACAACTAGGTATCTATCAGCAAGGAAATGAACCTCAATATCGGACCTCACACCATAACGAAAATTAACTTGAACTGAATCAGAGACCCAAATATAAAAGCGAAACCCTATCACTCTAGTTAAAAGCACATGAGAAAATCTTTGTGACCCCAGGGAATATACAAAGACCCTTAGAACATAAAAAGTACAAACCATTAAAGAAAACAGATAAACGTGACTTTACCAAATTTGTAATGTCTCTTTGAAATACACCTTGAAGAAAATGAAAAGGACCAGAGCCCACTGGCTGCTCCCTGCCAGCTGCTGCACGCATCCTAGAGCTTGGTCTGGGATGCAAGGAGACTTCACCAAGTGACCTCCCTGGGCAAGGACTGGCATCTGACCTGCCTCAAGTGTGGGAAATGTGGAAAGATGCTGAACTCCAGGGCCAAACTGGGCATGAGGCAAGCCCTACTGCAACCATCCCTGCTACTTAGCCATGTTTGGGCCAAAAGGCTTTGAGCGGGGTAGAGCTGAGAGCCACACTTTCCAGTTGACCTAGGTTGTGAAACCCCTCCCTACCCGCCTAGGCACATGTCAGGCCTTACCCCCCAGACACCACGGGCTCCCAGTAGTCCTCCATGTCCTTAACAAACCTGAACCACTGGGGGAAAAAATGAAAAAGATGCCCCAGACTGAAAGGAATTTGTGCTGGCAACCGTGGATGTCAACTTGGCACATGTAAAAGGGAACTTCAACTGCAGGGTTCCCTCCATCAAACTGACCTACGGGAATGTCTATGGGGCATTTTCTTAATTGCTAATTGATGAAGGAGGCCCAGGCTGCATAAAAAGACAGGGAGCAAACCAAAAGCAGCATTCCTCCATGATCCCTGCCTCCAGGTTCCTGCTTTGAGTTCCTGACTTCCCTCAGTGATGGACTGTGACCTGCATGTTTAAGACAAAATAAACCCTTTCATCCCCTAAATTGCTCTTGGTCAGAATACTTTACCACAGGAACAGAAAGCAATCTAGAACAAAAATATTCACAATATATTTATCAGACATGACAAATTATAAAAAGAATTCGTAAAGATTGATCATAACACAGACAACATGACTTTTTTTTAAAAAAAAAATTGTTTTTATTTTATGTGTATGCATTGTATTGCCTGCATGTAGGTAAGTGCACCCATGTCAGGCAATGCCCGCAGAGGTCAGAAGAGGCTGTCGGATCCCCAGGGACTAGAGTTACAAACAGTTGTTAGCTGCTATGCGGGTGCTGGGATCTGAACCCAGGTCTTCTGCAAGAACAACCAATGTCCTTAACCACTGAGCCATCTCTCCAGCCCGACAACCTGACTTTTAAAAATAAAGATTTGATATGATTGGCCAAAAAGCACATGAAAATATCTCAAAATAATAGCCATCAGAGAAATGCGATGTAAACCCAAATGGAGACAAAACTATATCCTCACAGACACGCCGATGCTGGGATTAACACCAAGTGCTAGTGAGGAACAGAGTACACATCTAGTCACTCCATCCTAGGTGTTCATCCAAGGTAAATAAGGATGTCCACACAAAGCTCGTAAGCAGATGTTCAGACAACCTACATGGCCTCCAGTATGGAAGTGAACTGTGGTTTACTCACACAATGGAGTACTATGTATGAACCAGTGGCATATCTAACAAGTGCTACCTCCAAACTATGGAGCAGTACACAGGTAAGAAAGGCAGAGTACCTTTTTAACAGACTCTACAACAGCAAAACCAATCTACATAGACAAAAAAATAATCCAGAAGTTTCCTGGGCCAGAGTGAGGGACACTGGAAACACAACAGGGACACAGAGAGGACGTTCTCTACGTCACCTGTCATGAAGGGGCACGGGTGTTTACGTTGGTCAAAACTCATTAAATCTCATACTTACAATGATGCATCTTATTGTATGTAAATTATATGTCAATGAAGTGAATTTTTTCTAAAGTTCATCTTTAGTTCTAGTAATCTGAAATATTACCTTACTGTATGAAATCTTTTGGAAAGGAAAAAACAAAACTAAATACTTGAACTGGTTCAAATTTAAAACTGTTTAGGATCAAACATCAATACAAAAATAGCATGTATGCCAAGCGTGGTGGTACATGCCTTTAATCCCAGCACTTGCAAAACAGAGGCAGGTGGATCTCTGTGAGTTTGAGGCCAGCCTGGTCTACCTAGTGAGTTCCAGGCCAGCTGGGGCTATAGGAGACTCAAAAAAGTGAAAAAAAAAGAAAAAAGCATGTAACAAAAAATAATTGTTTTTTAATTACATTATTTAGTTTGTGTGTGCATAGAGGTCAGAGGACAACTTAGGGGAGGTCAGCTCTTTCCTTCCACCATGAGGGTTCCAAGGATCAAACTCAGGTCTTCAAGCTTGGCACCAAGAACTTTTATCTGCTGAACCATCTCACTGGCCCAACAAAGATATTCAAAAGCCAAGTACTGAAAATGTCTGACCCTTAATTTTACTAACCTAGAGTGCAAGTATGAAAAGGTGATATCCTTGTGTCTAGCATTATAAAAACACAACACATTTCCACAGCAAGATCCTCAAGACAAGGTGAACTGTACCCGAGCTCTTTCTCTCCCCGTCCCTCTCTGAGCACAGTCTCTCTCCTTTTGCCTTTGCCTCTAACTTTCTATACAAAGCACTGAAATATCCTGTATTAAATCAACACAAACAGTTCCTTTAAAAAATAAATAAATAATGAAGGAACTGGAGAGATGGCTCAGCAGTTAAGAGTACTGGCTGCTCTTGCAGAGGAACCAGGTTCAGTTTCCAGCACCCATGATGGTCAGCGACCATCCAGAACTCCAGTTCTGGTGACATGCCTTTAATTCCAGCACTCAGGAGGCAGAGACAGGCAGATTTCTGTGAGTTCAAGGCTGGCCTGGTCTACATAGAAAGTTCCAGGCCAGCTGGGCTACTGGGAGACCCTGTTTCAAAAAGACCAAAAGAATTACTTATTTCCTTTTGGTCTTTAAATTTTCTTCATCTAAGTGATTCTCTGGTTGTTTTTTTTTTTTTTTTTT